TAACAAAAAAAAAAAAAAAAAAAAAAAAAATCCTCTCAAAAAAAAAGAAAAGAAAATTTTACAGAGTGGATGTTGGGAAATAGAACTAGGTAGTGCAATAACGTAAGTGATTCTAGATACGCTTATTCTCCTATAGGTGCCTTTTAAAAATAATTATTAATTTAATTTTATTTATCATTATTATTTTTTAATTTGACCACAGAAAGAGACAAAAAAGGAAAAAATGAGAAAGCAAGCTACCAGGTCTGAACTCAAACAACAGTTGGCTATGTGAGAGTACAGTGCCTCAACTACCACACCACCTGCCAGCCCCAATGATAGGGTTATTTCTTTTTTAAAACAAAGTATCTATTTCATTTTATTTATTCATTCATTTATTTTAATTTGACCAGAGAGAGACACAAAGAGAGAGAGAGAAAGGGAGAAAGGAAGCCACCAGGTCCGGGACTCAAACCGTGGTCGGCCATGTGGGAGTGTCCAACACCTTAACCACAACGCCACCTGCTGGTCCCCTGATAGATTTATTTCTAATTGAATCCTAAGCACTTCAGAGAACTTTGAAAAATGCAATGCCAGGCTACATGTGAAGTTTGTAAAAATTGATCAAAGACAAACACATATGTATTCTCTATCTTTTGAACCTTAATGAACTGCTCAGAGTTAGTTGCAGGCTTTTTGTTTGTTTTCTTTTGAGAGATTTTTGCTATGGGGGGTGCACTTTCTGAGGAGAGACAGAGACAGAAAATGAGAAATTACCCCGGGGGGATGGCCACATCCCAATTTCTATCCTCTCCAGATTTTGGGCATGTACACACATGTGCCTGACATGAGTTTCAAGCTGCTGGATCTGGGACTTAAATCACAGTCAGCCATGTGGGAGTCCAGTGCCTTAATCACTACACCACCTGCTGGCCCCACAGGCAGTTTTGTATAATAAAATCTGAGAGCCCCCACCCCCACCCCATAGGTGGTCAAAATGCCAACCCATGTGGCTGATTGCACCCTTTGAGTTTTGGAACCAGCAGCTTGAGAAACACATCAGGCCATACATGTCTAAAATTCTAAGAGGGGAATGGAGGGGAAGGGATTGTGGTGTAGCCATACCCTCCAGGGAGGTGCTTCTTCACTTTCTCTCTCTCTCTCACCAGTGAGACACACCCTACAACAATTTTTTTAAAAAGCAGGAGAGAAACACTAAGATTTTATGAAAAAGGGACTGGAATAAGCAGAGGGTTTTTTTCAACACTATTTTAAATATAAAACATGGAAAAATTAGCATAACATTGAAAATTACTACACATGTATTATGTAAATACATTTTAGAACAGCAGTAAGTGATTTTTTTTCCCCAAAAATTCATTGACACTAATAAATAACGTGAATGTTTTATAGAACTGGAGAATTAAGGCTCTCGTAAGTGCTAAGAAGTGGTCATTTTCATTTGTTGATACATTAAAAGAGTAAACATTGGGGCCAACAGACGGGGTCATGGTTATATCACTGTAGTCAATTATGGTAGAGTCCCGGACCCAGTGGCTTATAACTCACACCAGGCCTGTGTCCCTGCATGCCCAAAATCTAGAGAGGGAATAGAGGAGAAGGGACTGTGGCCTGGCCATCATCCCCAGGTGATTTCTCACTTTTTGGTCTCATCTCTGTCTCTCTGGCAAGTTCATGCACTCTATAGTAAAAATCTCTTAAAAAAAAAAAAAGAGCAAGCATTTAGATAAACATGGGGAGGGTACCATTGTTCATGAACATGCCTATATTCATGGTTTAGCCAATGTGAGTTCACAGGGTAAAAGTTACATTAGTCTAAGAGGATATATATATAAAGCGCAGATGTTCTTGGCTAGAAAACAATGAAACCAAACATTTTTAAATCGTACAACTTCAAATTGCCTGGGACCTGGAAAATTAGTAAGGAAAAAGATGCTCTAACATAAAAATGAAAGATTTCTGAAAAACACAAAATTCGCATTCATACTTTAAATCAAATTACATCAAGAAATCAGAATACAAGAAAAAATACAGATATTATAACAAAAAAAACCCACATATTGAGAAATATAATCAACATGCAGATTACTGAAATAAGTTTGTTTTAAATGATAAGAAAATCTCCAATGGGAAAAACAGTAAAAAAGAAAAAAAGATGTCTCAAAAATGATCAGAGACTAAATTCAGTAGACCCTTAGGAAAACTTTTTGTAAAAATTGAAAGGGTATTACTCATACTTAAGTAGCTAAAGTGCCAAACTCAATGAAAAGCTATAACTGAAAACCCTCAGATTCAGGCTAGCTGGTGGAACCTCATAAGTAGACTCTTAGTAAAACTGAAAAAAAAAAAAAGGAAAACTAGAAATGGGTTTAAATCATAATTAATTAAATAAATCCTGTGCCATACGCAATAATTAAGCCCTAATGGAGGTCTCTGACACTTGGCCCAGCATCTACAGGCCCAGCTGACTAAGTCCCTGGAGGGCATCCTCCCCTCACTTATTAATGCTTAATTGAATTCAAAGCTATTCCTGACACTGGGGTTGGCCTCACTAACCCTCTCCACACCTTCAGCAAGGAAGCTGGGGATAATCGGCTTCAAAAACTTGAAATCACTGGTCCCAGTCCCTCCCCTCAGACACACCTCATACTGGTAGCTGTGGGACAGGGTCCCAGTGCCGCTGACGTCCAGCAGGTGGCCCGGGAAGGGGCCCTCGGGCACCGAGCAGACCCCCAGCGAGGCCGCACTGGCCCTCCTGCACAGCCGCGCCGCCACGAACAGCAGCACACACAGCAGGAAGAGCGACGACACCGCCGCCAGCGCGATGACCAGGTAGACGGTGAGCGAGTCGGCCTGCGCCTGCGCCGGGGCGGCCTCGGGCAGCGCCAGGTAGGGCTGGGAGAAGCCGTCCACCAGCAGCACGTGCAGCGTGACGCTGGCCGACCGCGGCGGGGCG